TTCCCACTGCTGTGTTAAGAATGTATATTGTCTTGTCTCTTCGTAATCATTGTAAAATATGCCTTCAAAATTCCCAAATTCTTAAACTACTAATATCTTTCAAGTGCCTGAGGTGCCCCAAGAAGTTGTCCCACAAAAGAAAGTCCCCAAGGCACCACCCAAAACACCGGAAGCCCCACCTGTCACAGGTACATGTTAGCTATGACCTCATTCTTCCGAAGAAATGTCTGTTCAGTTTTTGAGAATGATTTTAGTCTGTTGCTATTCATTAACCTAATCATAAAACTACTAATATCTTTCAAGTGCCTGAAGTTCCCCAAGAAGTTGTCCCAGAAAAGAAAGCTCCCAAGGTACCACCCAAAAAACTGGAAGTCCCACCTGTCTCAGGTACATGTTGACCCAGATATCATTCTTCAGAAGAAATGTCTCTTCAGTTTTTGAGAATGATTTTGGTCCATTACTATTCATGAACCTAACCATAAAACTACTAATATCTTTCAAGTGCCTGAAGTTCCCCAAGAAGTTGTTCCAGAAAAGAAAGTTCCCAAGGCACCACCCAAAAAACCGGAAGCCCCACCTGTCACAGGTACATTTAGCTCTGACCTCATTCTTCAGAAGAAGTGTGTCTTCAGTTTTTGAGGATGATTTTAGTCCATTGCTATTCATTAACCTAACCATAAAACTACTAATATCTTTCAAGTGCCTGAAGTTCCCCAAGAAGTTGTTCCAGAAGAGAAAGTTCCCAAGGTGCCACCCCAAAAACCAGAAATTCCACCTGTCACAGGTATATGTTGACCCAGACAACATTCTGCAGAAGAAATGTCTCTCCAGTTTTTGAGAATAATTTTAGTCCATTGCTATTCATTAACCTAACCATAAGACTACTAATATCTTTCAAGTGCCTGAAGTTCCCCAAGAAGTTGTCCCAGAAAAGAAAGTTCCCAAGCCACCACCCAAAAAACCGGAAGTCCCACCTGTCACAGGTACATGTTGACCCAAACAACATTTTGCAGAAGAAATGTCTCTCCAGTTTTTGAGGATGATTTTAGTCCATTGCTATTCATTAACCTAACCATAAAACTACTAATATCTTTCAAGTGCCTGAAGTTCCCCACGAGGTTGTTCCAGAAAAGAAAGTCCCCAAGGCACCACCCAAAAAACTGGAAGCCCCACCTGTCACAGGTACATTTAGCTCTGACCTCATTCTTCAGAAGAAATGTCTCTCCAGTTTTTGAGGATGATTTTAGTCCATTGCTATTCATTAACCTAACCATAAGACTACTAATATCTTTCAAGTGCCTGAAGTTCCCCAAGAAGTTGTCCCAGAAAAGAAAGTTCCCAAGCCACCACCCAAAAAACCGGAAGTCCCACCTGTCTCAGGTACATGTTGACCCAGACAACATTCTGCAGAAGAAATGCCTCTCCAGTTTTTGAGGAGGATTTTAGTCCATTTCTATTCATGAACCTAACCATAAAACTACTAATATCTTTCAAGTGCCTGAAGTTCCTCAGGAAGTTGTTCCAGAAAAGAAAGTCCCCAAGGCACCACCCAAAAAACCAGAAGTTCCAGCTGTCACAGGTATATGTTGGCTCTGATCTCATTCTTCAGAAAAAATGTCTCTTCAGTTTTTGAGAATGGTGTAAGCCCATTGCTATTCATTAACCTAACCATAAAACTACCAATATCTTTCAAGTACCTGAAGTTCCCCAAGAAGTTGTTCCAGAAAAGAAAGTTCCCAAGGCACCACCCAAAAAACCGGAAGCCCCACCTGTCACAGGTACATTTAGCTCTGACCTCATTCTTCAGAAGAAGTGTGTCTTCAGTTTTTGAGGATGATTTTAGTCCATTGCTATTCATTAACCTAACCATAAAACTACTAATATCTTTCAAGTGCCTGAAGTTCCCCAAGAAGTTGTTCCAGAAAAGAAAGTTCCCAAGGTGCCACCCCAAAAACCAGAAGTTCCACCTGTCTCAGGTACATGTTGACCCAGACAACATTCTGCAGAAGAAATGTCTCTTCAATTTTTAAGAATGATTTTAGTCCATTTCTCTTCACTAACCTAACCATAAAACTACTAATATCTTTCAAGTGCCTGAAGTTCCCCAAGAAGTTGTTCCAGCAAAGAAAGTCCCCAAGGGACCAGCCAAAAAACCAGAAGTTCCACCTGTCTCAGGTACATGTTGACCCAGACAACATTCTGCAGAAGAAATGTCTCTTCAATTTTTAAGAATGATTTTAGTCCATTTCTCTTCACTAATCTAACCATAAAACTACTAATATCTTTCAAGTGCCTGAAGTTCCCCACGAGGTTGTTCCAGAAAAGAAAGTCCCCAAGGCACCACCCAAAAAACCGGAAGCCCCACCTGTCACAGGTACATTTAGCTCTGACCTCATTCTTCAGAAGAAGTGTGTCTTCAGTTTTTGAGGATGATTTTAGTCCATTGCTATTCATTAACCTAACCATAAAACTACTAACATCTTTCAAGTGCCTGAAGTTCCCCAAGAAGTTGTTCCAGAAAAGAAAGTTCCCAAGGTGCCACCCCAAAAACCAGAAGTTCCACCTGTCTCAGGTACATGTTGACCCAGACAACATTCTGCAGAAGAAATGTCTCTTCAATTTTTAAGAATGATTTTAGTCCATTTCTCTTCACTAACCTAACCATAAAACTACTAATATCTTTCAAGTGCCTGAAGTTCCCCAAGAAGTTGTTCCAGCAAAGAAAGTCCCCAAGGAACCAGCCAAAAAACCAGAAGTTCCACCTGTCTCAGGTACATGTTGACCCAGACAACATTCTGCAGAAGAAATGTCTCTTCAATTTTTAAGAATGATTTTAGTCCATTTCTCTTCACTAACCTAACCATAAAACTACTAATATCTTTCAAGTGCCTGAAGTTCCCCACGAGGTTGTTCCAGAAAAGAAAGTACCCAAGGCACCACCCAAAAAACCGGAAGCCCCACCTGTCACAGGTACATTTAGCTCTGACCTCATTCTTCAGAAGAAGTGTGTCTTCAGTTTTTGAGGATGATTTTAGTCCATTGCTATTCATTAACCTAACCATAAAACTACTAACATCTTTTCAAGTGCCTGAAGTTCCCCAAGAAGTTGTTCCAGAAAAGAAAGTTCCCAAGGTGCCACCCCAAAAACCAGAAGTTCCACCTGTCTCAGGTACATGTTGACCCAGACAACATTCTGCAGAAGAAATGTCTCTTCAATTTTTAAGAATGATTTTAGTCCATTTCTCTTCACTAACCTAACCATAAAACTACTAATATCTTTCAAGTGCCTGAAGTTCCCCAAGAAGTTGTCCCAGCAAAGAAAGTCCCCAAGGGACCAGCCAAAAAACCAGAAGTTCCACCTGTCACAGGTACATGTTGGCTCTGAGCTCATTCTGCAGAAGAAATGTCTCTTCAGTTCTTGAGAATGATTCAAGTCCATTGCTCTTCATTAACCTAACCGTAAAACTACTAATATCTTTCAAGTGCCTGAAGTTCCCCAAGACGTTGTTCCAGAAAAGAAAGTTCCCAAAGCACCACCCAAAAAACTGGAAGTCCCACCAGTTTCAGGTATTTTTCACCCCAGTCCTTTTTCTATAGAAGAAATACCTCCTTAGCTCTTGGAAGTACTTTTTAATTCATTGATCTCTTTAACCTAAGCATAAAACTACTATCTTTTAAGTGCCTGAAGTTCCTCAAGAAATTGTCCCTGAAAAGAAAGCACCAGTGGCACCTGCTAAAAAGCCAGAGGCCCCACCTATTACAGGTACCTGTCATTCACCTTAGATTTAAGAAGATAAAACTCTTCTGCTCTTGAAAATAGTTTGTTCTAGTGGTCACATAACAACTAAACGTAAATTGACTAATATCTTTTAAGTGCCTGAGGCTCCCAAGGAAGTCGTCCCTGAGAAGAAAGTACCTGTAACACCTCCTAAAAAGCCAGAAGTCCCACCTGCTAAAGGTATTTGTCACTGATCTTAGGCTTAAAAGACATAACTCCTCTGCTCTTGAAATAATTTGTTCCAATGATCTCATAACTCATAAATGTTACCTTACTAATATCTTTTAAGTGCCTGAGGCTCCCAAAGAAGTTGTCCCTGAAAAGAAAGTACCTGTGACGCCTCCTAAAAAGCCAGAAGTCCCACCTGTTAAAGGTATTTGTCATGAAACTCAGGCTTTAAAGCACATAACTCTTCTGTTCTTGAAAATATTTGCTCCATTGGTCTCATACTACTAAATGTAATTTTACTAATATCTTTTAAGTGCCTGAGGTGCCAAAAGGAGTTGTCCCTGAAAAGAAAGTACCTGTGACACTTCCTAAAAAGCCAGAAGTCCCACCTGTTACAGGGAGCTTTCACTTACCTTAGATTTCAGAAAATAAAACTCTTCTGCTCTCAAAAACATTTTGCTCCAGTGCTCCCACAACTTCTAAATGTAATTTTACTAATATCTTTTAAGTGCCTGAAGCTCCCAAGGAAGTCGTTCCTGAGAAGAAAATACCTGTGACACCTCCTAAAAAGCCAGAAGTCCCACCTGCTAAAGGTATCTGTCACTGATCTTAGGCTTAAAAGACATAACTCCTCTGCTCTTGAAAATAATTTGTTCCAGTGCTCTCATAACTCCTAAATGTAATTTTACTAATATCTTTTAAGTGCCTGAGGCTCCCAAAGAAGTTGTCCCTGAAAAGAAAGTGCCTGTCACGCCTCCTAAAAAGCCAGAAGTCCCACCGGCCAAAGGTAGCCGCCTCCATGTTGCTGTGTTTGACACTGTCTGTCTGTCTTCACTCAGTCTAATCATGAAAATACTAATCTCTTTAAAGTACCCGAGGTGCCAAAGGCAGCCATGCCAGAAAAGAAGGTGCCTGAAGTTATTCCTCCCAAACCGGAAAGTCCTCCTCCTGCAGGTAATCATGAAACTCTCTAAACTAGTATTTTTAAAAAGAAAAACTCTCTTCTGAGTGCTGTAAAAATCATTTTACAAAATGTTTCATATGCTTAAGTCAGTTCTAGCATTCAAACAAGCTTGTGTCTTTAAAGTGCACGAGGAGCCTGAGGAAATAGCCCCAGAGGAGCCTCCAGTTGAAGTCGTAGAAGAGCCAGAGCCTGCTCCTGCTCCTCCTCCAAAAGGTACTGGCCAACTGCTGTATGGCCTTAGCCAATCTCTGCCCTTCTTGTCCCCCAGATTTAGGCGTTAGGACTTTTCTCGTTTTTCACTCTTCTTCACCGATTCTAAAACATAAATCATAATATCTTTAGTGACCGTCCCACCTAAGAAACCTGTCCCAGAAAAGAAACCACCTGCTGTTGTTGCCAAGAAACCTGAACCACCACCAGTGAAAGGTATTTCCCACTGCCACTGCTTCCTACAGAAAAATGTCTGTCTCTAAAATGCTATGTTCCACTGCTCAGCTTAATGATTTTCGTATGTCACTGAAATGATGAGCTAAATACTAATATCTTTTTAAGTGCCTGAGGTGCCCAAGGAAGTTGTTCCTGAAAAGAAAGTGCCTCCAGTGGTTCCCAAAAAACCGGAAGTCCCGCCTGCTAAAGGTACTTGTAACTGTCTACTGTCTAAGAGAGGTGGCTACAACCTCTAGCTCTTGAAAAGCATTTTGTTCTGTGTAAATGTGATGAATGTTTACAAGTGATTCTTCATAATGTTAAAATACTAATATCTTTAAAGTGCCTGAAGTTCCAAAAGAAGTCATTCCCGAAAAGAAAGTAGCTGTTCCCAAAAAGCCAGAAGTCCCACCAGCTAAAGGTACATGTCACTAACCAGTAGATAAGCACTCACTCTTGGGTTTCGAAAGTCACTTCCAATAGGAAAGCCTTTTGTTTGTCAAACGTCTTATATTAACTACAAACCTACTATACTGGATGTTTAGGGTTTTAAATGTTTTTAAATAGCATCATTGATTGAAGGAAAAAAAAAGACTGGTACGTCTGTTTTAAGTACTGGAAGAGTTTTCTAACATGGTTTTGTTCATTTTAATAGGCTTTGTTTTCTTCCTACTATGGGGATCCAAGAACAGATAACTGGCCTCGTTGTGAATTTTGTTCTTGGATCTGTCCCTGGGTTATTTGAACTAGATATGGTATAAATTTCATATACTTCTCAACTACCGAGAAGTAAAACTAACTCCTGTCTTTCAAGTGCCAGAGGTACCAAAGAAACCTGTCGTGGAGGAGAAACCAGCCATCCCTGTTCCTGAGAGAGTAGAGTCTCCTCCTCCAGAAGGTACATGTAATGCTGTTTGTGAGCTTAACCACTTTTGACTGTTTTTAATGTAAGCCTTGTTCCTCTTCTAATTCAGTGTCTCTTGGTCATTTTCTGTCCTTTAATTATTTGTCTTACTTCACTATTCTTAATAGGCTCCAATCTTAAATCTATTTGGGGTCCATAGTCAGCAACTACACTGGCCATCATAAACTGTGTCACACAAAGCTTCTCTAATGTACACACAATGCAGGACAGGGAATGACTATAAATGACATTAAACACGAAAGGGGTTTTTCAAGCATTCAAAGCAATAGAAACAGAAATCAGTCAAACAAGATGAATTTCATCTCAATATAAGTGATGATATTAATAGAAACAAGGGGAGAAATCAAGATGACTATTGTGTTTCACATTTGTGCGTTTTAGAATATTGTTCCACACATTCAATTAAAATTAACTATATCTTTAAAGTTTATGAAGAACCCGTGGAAATTGTTCCTGAAGAGGAAGAGCCAGTTCCTGTTGTAGAAGAGGAAGAGCCAGTTCCTATTGTTGAAGAGGAAGAGCCAGTTCCTGTTGTAGAAGAGGTGGAACCAGAAGCCCCACCACCAGCAGGTACAAGACAAGATTCACTGAATGGAAGAATATACTATTTGATTTTTTATGTCTATTATTTATCTTGTTTAAGGCAAACATCTCAGTCTTCTATTTCCTTCTTTAACATTTGACCTTATTAGCAAGAACAAAAGTCAGTTGCACACATAAAGCTTTTGTCCTACAGACACAATGCAGCATAGCACAGAAATAAGTGTGATCTTTCTTATTCATTCATAGCATTAATCTTTTCATTGTAATCATTTGACTCTAAAAGAAATCCTTATCTTTCAAGTGCCTGAAGAGCCCAAGAAGATTGTTCCAGAGAAGAAAGTGCCTGTCATCAAAAAACCAGAACCTCCACCTCCTAAAGGTACTTACAGTAAAATAAATATTTACTTCTTTTTTTGTGTGTTGTCAGCAATTTGGCACTCTTTCCTTGTTTTATATTGTGCTATATTATGTGCTGTATTATGAACTGTCATCTGTATGTTACAGTTCTGAGCAGACTTGTCAAATTAATCTGTACATATTGCATCTTGCAATTTTATATTATTAAATGTTACTAATATCTTTAAAGTACCTGCGATGGCAAAGAAAGTTGTCCCAGTGAAGAAAGTCCCAACTGTTAAGAAGCCAGAAACACCAGAAATTAAAGGTATTCACATCATCATTGATACAATAATTTTTTTTTAAGTATTCTGATATCTTCAAGTGGAATCCAATAAGTTGTCTTCAGTGTTAGGGACAAGAATGTCCTTATTTTGCTTTCATTAATTTTAATGCTGCTCTGTTAATTATAGGTTCTTTATTATTAACACTTTTTCCAATGTCTTTAAATATTCTTTCTAAAATAAAACTAATATCTTCAAAGTGTCTGAGCTGCCCAAGAGACTTGTTCCAGTAAAGAAGGAACCTGTGCCTGTTACCAAAAAACCAGAAATCCAGCGAGTAAAAGGTATCTACCATGAAGAAAGAAAGAATGTATGTCTCTGAATGCTGTCTAAGCATCTTAATAGTAGTTCTTATAACAAAAATATGAAGTATAAGTTTATGCAAGAACAGATTTTACAGAAAAAAAAGAGGGAAATAATGAAGGCAAAGAGAAAATAAGACAGACAAACAGGAGAAACCTTGCTTATCCTGAAAGATAAGGCTGGATGTAATGATGCCAGCCATATTTTGGAGTTCTTTGAATGCTAATATAAGGCATGTACTTTCATCTGTGGGCGATAGGAAGCTTCAGTGGTATATAAATTAACAGGAGTCGAGCTTCAGATAACTGGCAGCAGGTCAAATTCTTAGAAGAGGATAATATTAGGAAAGAAGCATTACAGTTTTTAAGGTCTTCAAAAATTGAGTAAGATCAGTGGTGACAGAAATGGAAAAGATTGGATTTAAGAGAAGTGGAGATTGAGTGGGTGTCTATTCTCAAAGTAATGAGGGAACTAGATGAGCCCAAAATGATTGTAAGAGTTGAAGCTAGGACATGAGAATGGTTCACTGAATCCCCAAACTAATATTAGAAAGAAGGCAGTGACTATATCTTTTACATTTCAAGTATGGAAGTTGGGAATATGCATCTGGAACTTAGGAAAGAGATCGGGGCCAGAGATGTAGATCCACAAGTCATTACCATGGAAATAAGAGTTGAGAGTGCCGGAGTGATTGCTTAAAAAAATGTAGATTCAGTTTTTAAAATCATCAAAGTTAGACCAATGGAAAATATCTATATTTAAAGGTACACAGAGGATTAGAAATAAATGAAGAAGGCTGCAAGGACTCATTTATTAAATTAGGATGTCCAAAAGGGTGCCTTGCCTGTAAAGCCATTTCCCCCACAGAGTCTTATAAGATGAAGTACCATACCCATGTATTCTTTGCCTGCTCTTTGCAGTATCTTGTACATCTTCTAAATTCTTAATAGTAAACAAAATCAATATCTTTAAAGTGCCTGAAGTTCCCAAGGAAATCATCACAGAAGAGAAAGTGTCAGTTCCTATCCCTGAAGAACCAGAAGCTCCACCTGTCCAAGGTACATGGCTGTGCACTAAATCTTGGAAAGATGATAGTCGTCTCATCATCTTGCTTTGGTTGTAAATGGATCTTTTGTGTTTATCTGTTGTCTGTCTTACTTAGTAAAGTTATTGGTATTTTGGAATCTTCTGAAGAATATGTTATAGTGTGTAACTAAGTTGATATGTTGAAACTCAGCAGTTGCAGTATTCTACTCTGAATTCAGTCTAAAATAAAATACTATGTTTTTTAAGTTGAAGAGTCGTCTGAAGAAATAATATATGAAGAAAGAGCATCCATAACCATTGGTAGAAAAGTGACTCCCCCTGTTGAAGGTATATATAAATGTATAAATATAAAATTTTTAATTTCTTGAAACCTCCTATTAGAAATACAAAAGTATTTATAGGCTAACATTCCTTCTTGAAATTTTATGTAAAAGCATTCTAGCACGTTTGACTTCTTTGTTTTTCAAATCATTATACTTCTTTTGAAGTATAATCTTTTGATTATTCTTGATTGTAATTATAAATTCCAAGAGATACAGTTTACTGAGGCAAAACTGGAATCATTGCATTAGATCTTCAAATGATAACCCAACATCAGATTTTAAAAATCATTTCATTTGCCATCAACATACATCAAATAGTAGAAAGCTTGAATATAAGAAAATAGAAATATTAACCTCTTTTTCTATGTAAGTGAATATATATATTTTTGTTTTTGTGACTGTCATCTTTGCATCTGTGAAATTTGTATGAGTCTTGTGAAGAACTTTACATTACAGCCTCTTATCCTTTGTCAACATTCTTTAAAGAACGTGAAATTGAAAAGTATGTTAAGCCTGAAGAACCTGAAGAACCTGAACCACAGCCAGAAGAAACACCAGTACAAGGTATTCAGCTAATTGGACTTAAATCTTCATCACCATATTCTTCCTCTTGATATATATGTATATGTTTTACGTTTGATGTGTACAGTATGTCCTTCCTCACCTGTATGTAAGGTATTCTGTTTTAATGTGCATCTCAGTCGCCTGTATTCATGTCATTTGTACTATTTATTTCACGTCAGTGTGGCTTATCTGGATGCTTCCTTTGTCATTTTCATTAGTGCTTGTGCCGTACTTGTTATCTATGTACAGTGTTCATATTCTTATGTTTTATGTTGAACTTTTTTATGTTTTATGTTGCATACCAATATTATGTCTCCAAAAAAAGCAAACTTCTTACTTAAATATACTTCTTACATAAATATCCTTATGTTTCTCCTGAATATACTGTAAGCCCACATACCAACAGTTGTATTCATATACTAATACTCCTGAAATCCTCTTTTAAGAACCTGAACCTGAAAAGAAGGTTATTGAGAAACCAAAACTCAAACCAAGGCCCCCAGCTCCACCTCCTGCTCCACCTAAAGAAGATGTAAAGGAGAAAATATTCCAGCTTAAAGGTATAAAATGATACTTCCAAAATTTTATTAACCTGCTCCAAACTTCCATCCAAACATCTGAAGTGGTGCTTGCAAGAAATGTATTTTTAAAATGTGTACTTTTGGACGTGATCATGCTGGGGAATTCCATAGAGACGTGTTTTATGCTGCCATGGGTACCTTGTCAGGCCATGCTTGCTGCCCAAAGTGTCAGAAAGTGTGCCCTAGTTAGCTTCATCCTGACCGTCTGGATGCAGGGGCTGTCCCGACTAACTTTCTCATGCGAGTCGGGTGAAAGGGTTTTCTGATTTCAAAGTGTGGTTGCTGTGCATACCTTTGGGATCTTGTGCATGTGAAATGTAGAAGAAAACTGAGCTGGATGTTTTTAATATTGCAGTAACGAACTTATACAAAAGCCAAAACTTTGTCCTTAAACAATGACATATGCTTTAAAATATACTATAGGCATTATATCTATGGGCTCCAATAGCTGATGTATTCATATACCATGAAAGGAAGGTATATGAACAACTCATCACTGCTTCCCCACTTTTTTTTTTTAACAACTTGATAAAAAGCCAACCGTGTTCTATGGTTGTTCCCCTTGTTAAACTTCCTTTCATTCTCTTTGCATTTAGATTTTTCTTTGAATTCAGTATTCTTGGGCTTCCCTTGTGGCTCAGCTGGTAAAGAATCTGTCTGCAATGCAGGAGACCTGGGTTCGATCCCTGGGTTGGGAAGATCCCCTGGAGAAGGGAAAGGCTACCCACTCCAGTACTCTGGACTAGAGAATGCCATGGACTATAGTCCGTGGGGTTGCAAAGTGTTGGACATGACTGAATGACTTTCACTTTCACTTTTACTTTGAATTGATTCAATATTATTTAATTCTTAAAATAACATCTTTAAAAGCTGAAAAACTAGCAACATTGTATTATTCTTTTTATTTTAACAAAATGTTGTCTTATTTGTGGTGTCATGAGATTTCCCAGTCTAAAATAATCTAGATATAATCTTAGGTGAGCACTTTTCCCTTAACTACACATGTACACAAAATCAGTTTTCCATAGAAAGACTTGTTTCTTGCCTCTCTACAACCCTCCTGGCCTGTAGGGAAAGTCTTTGGCATTTTAAATCAAACACAGAAAAAGCAAGCACTTCTTAAAAGGTTACCCATCTGTTGATTGACATTTTATGAAGACACACACTTAAATATGTTTCCCTTCTTGTAAAATCTATATGCAAAGGAAGATTTCTTACCCCTGCAAAGAGCAAAACTTATCTTTCTTCTCAGCCAGACTTTAACTTACTACTCAACTTTGGAGTAAAACTTGAATCTGTTTTCATGGTTTGAACGCTTCTTATATGTTCTTCAGTGGCTGTTCTTGGCTGTTATTAATGCTTTTGGGTATAGACAATAAAGCAGGTATTTAATAATTTGCTTCAGATCAGTCTAAATAAACAAATAATAAAAGTAAGATCATCTTGTTTAAAGCTGTTTCAAAGAAGAAAGTTCCTGAGAAACCTGTGGTTCCAGAAAAAGTGGAGCTTACACCTCTGAAAGGTATTTCAACAGTCTAGAAAATGCTCATATTCAGTATCCCTTTATCTATCTCCTTGCTCTTCCTGGTTTCTACAATGTTCTTCTTTTTCTTCTTCTTTCCTTTTTTTAAAGAAAAATAATAATCAGAGTAGTCTCACTGATTTCTTGTGTTTTTGTAGCTTTTATAGTCCTGATTCATGAGTGTTGCTTTCATTGTCTCTCATCAATTTCATGCATTCATGGATAAATGTTGTTTTCTTTTCCTCATCTACATATGTCTTTTTGCACTTTCCTAAACTAAAAAATAGCAAATTTTACTGGTTAGCTGACATTAATATCAGGACATATCTTAGATTAAAATGCTGAGAGCTAGCAATAGAAAGCTTTGCGATTTCACTGGAACAACAATATTTTAGCCAGTGTTATAAGCACCAAAAAATAAGTCCTGTTTTCCTTCTATACTATTAATATGATTCATAGGGATTTCCTTGTGGCTTTCCTATCACTCTCTTCTCAGGGGCTCTAAAACAGTCTTTTGGGCGTACAGATCTCATGTTGTAGGGAAGTTTCATCATCACTGCAGGTCATTTTTTCAAAATGTTATTTCTCTTTAAACAGTATTTTTCCCTATCTAAGCTTGGACTGAAAAGAAAAATAAATGAATCATAAAGGTTTATAAAACATCTATTGAAAATAAAATTGTTAATTTTTCCAGTAAGCATAGTAGGGAACAGTGTTCTATTTAAGTAATTAACACATCCAGACCCATAAGTTGAATCTATTCCTGATTCACTCTGGGATTTTGGAAAAATCACCCATCTGAATATATATTTCCTCAGTTATAAAACAGAGATTACAAATTAGTGTTGCTGTGGATGTTAACTGTGGATGCAGAGGATGTAATAATCCTCTACAAAGCCACTCAAACATTAAATGACATGTAATGACATATTAATATATAATGACTTTAAAAATAACTACAGTGGTGTGTTCTACACCTGAGTCTTATATATAAGATCTTAAAAATGAAATAATATGGAAAAACAGATGCAAAGATACATTTTCACTATATTCATTAGATAAGTAAAGGATATTACTGATGGAAATTAAATGCATAGGCATCTCTCCAGCTTGATCAATGAAAATGGTTTACATTACAAATCTTGGTAACTCTAAAATAATTATCATGGATAAAAGCATTTAATAGTTGTGAAATTTTACATAAAATACTTGACAGAAAAAATATTTTAAATGAAATATTTACATATTTGTTCTGTATGTTTAAAATTTCAAGTAAGAGTTAACCACATTTATCTTTGTCACATAAAACAAAAGTTATTTAATAAATTACAAATGTCTTATTTAAAACACCAAATGTGAAGTTTTATAGAAATATCTAAAAATTCAGATTGTTTAAGTGTTTCTCCTTTCCCCAAATCAAGTTCATAATCCATATTATTTGGCTTTCTTCTCATTAGTGGAGAAGATTTGAATAATGTCACTCACGTCTGCTATAATTAATGGTCAGGGGGATATCAGTGTAGATTTGGACAATCTACAATTGCATGTTGGGGCAAAGATGATGTCCAGAACCTTGTATTGAATGAAAAATGCATAAAGTCAATATAGAATAACATCTTCTACACCCTTTTAAGGTGAATGAATATATTTGCCTGAAGTTAATGCAAATGAATTTCATCCCGAGGTGATATAGATCTATGCAGAGCAAAACAACTTGAAGTGTGTTCTTGCTTTTAAATTCTGTGATATTTATATGCAACAAGAATTATTACTTATGCATCATGGTTAACTAGTTTTGAAAGAGACAGTTTCTTGTTGAAATTTACTTTTTATATGAATTCACTTCAAAATTTAAAATCATATTCTTTTAAGTGGCTGGAGGTGAAAAGAAAGTTCGCAAATTACTTCCTGAACCTAAACCTCAACCAAAGGAAGAAGTTGTTCTCAAAAGCGGTAGAGTATTTTTCAAACATTGTATCAGCTTCAAATAATAAAAAAGAACTTGAAAGCTTACAAAATAT